AGTGAAGCAACGTCCTCCACAACTAGACTGAAGAACAACAACTTGTCTGTTCCCATCCCTTAATTCCCCAATTAAAAAAAAATTAATAAAAAAAAAAAGAATGCCTTTGTCCTTTAAAAAAAATAAAAATAAAAGTAAGAAGGGGGATATTGAGACAGAGAGACACAGGGAGAAGGCCACGTGGCGACCGAGGCAGGGACTGGAGTGATGCGTCTACAAGCCAAGGAACGCCAAGTGTGGCCGGGAGCCCCCAGGAGCTGGAAGGGGCCCGAAATGTCCTGTCCTACAGGTTTCAGAGGGAGCACGGCCCTGAGGACACCTTGATTTTGGACTTGTAGTCTCTGGAATTGTGAGAGAATAAATGCTCATTGCTTTAAGCTGCCCATTGTGGTGCTGAGTTTCTCAGCCCTGGGAAGGGTGTTCCTGTGGGCGGCCTTACCTCTGGGGACTGGGCGTGGCTGCCTCCGGGGCCTGCTGGTCCCGCTGGGGGCCTGTAGGCAGGCTCAGCTCCAGCATGTAGTGTATCTGGGCGAGAAAGGCCAGGAGCAGCTGCGGGTAGGCCTCCTGCATGGCCTTCTCGAACTCTCGTGTGAGCTGTAGCTCATGCAGTATGTTCATGGCCTGTCGGGGTGGCAGGGGGTGCTGCAGCTCCAAGCCCTGTGGCCTGGGGGCCAGGCCTGAGGACTGACCAACACCCAGCAAACCCCATGACCCACCGCCCAGCAAACCCCACATCGGCCACGCCTCCTGCTCCCTGCTCACAGCCTGCTGGACCAGGGCCAAGTCCCTGAGACCTCCCTCCCTCGGGCCTGGCTTTGTCGGCTGGCACCCTAAGTGCCTCCATGCCCGTAGGGGCATGTGGTTCAGAATGCTCTCAGGGTGGGTGACAATACTGAGCAGGAATGACAAGGGGAGGGCGGGGATTTGGGGCATGGCGGGATGCAGGGAAGGCCATCCTGCTGACCCCACACTGTTGTGTGGTCTCCCACAGGGAGGCTGGCATCAGCCTGGGGCTGGGGCAGGGGGTGTCGGGGAGAAGAGCCCACTGAGGGCCCGGTGTGGGGAGAGCGGGGGGCTTCCCCACTGGCACCATGTTCAGCGGTCACACGCCTTTGCTGTAGGCAGCAGTGTGTCTAGGGGGCTCTTGGGTCAGGGGGGTTCTCAGGCTGAAGAAAACGAGTCTCAGGGCACAGCTGCTGCCTGGCGAGCGCCCAGCCAAGGAGGACAGGTGTGGCTGTGTTAGGAGGTGAGGGGCTGGGCTTGTTGGGAAAGACAGGGCAGGGTAGGTTCCTGCAGGACAGCGGGGGCTGCAGGAGGCAGTCTCTAAGCTTCCTCCAGAATCCACAACCCCCAGAACCCATATGGGCTCGCCCTCCACGTCCCTCCTCTCTGCCTGAGCCCGGCCCGAGGTCCCTCTGCTCTGAGGCCGTCCACACAGCAATCCCGAGTCCTGGACCCACAGCATACGCTTCAGTGCCCTCCCTAGGCCTGCAGGACCACCACCGTCCCACTTCACGGAGGGGAAACGGGCCCTGGAGCGGTCCAGAACCCTCGGCCAGAAAGTGGAAGCTGGGCCTGGACCCAGGGCCCGTGTGGTCAGCCCCTAGCTGGGTGGTCTTGGGGGCCCCCTCTTCCAGGCTGGGCTGGGCAGGGAGGGGCTTCCTCTCTCCCCAGGGCCTGGCATACCACACACTGCCGCTATCTGACTGAATGCCCATGTGAAGTCCCTTTAGCCCAGTGGCAGCGGGGTGGTGGCCGAGACTCACGGCCAGCGAGCGCAGATAGGTCTTCTCCTTGGGCTGGGGGCTGCTGTCATCAGCCCCGATGGGCAGGGGCCGCTCCTGTAGCAAGGCCAGTAGCACCACCAGCACCCGGCGGCTCACGCGCTGCTCAGCCCCCAGGGCCCTCCACAGCTGGAAAGCACGGCTGTGGGCAGACAGGGGCCGTGAGGGCTCAGCCGCACCAGCGTGCCACCGCGACCAGGGCCTCAGGTGCCTGGAGTGGGGGCCAGGCTGGGTTCTGGGCCAGACCTGGCAGGGCGGGGGGCCTGGGGGTGGATCAGGGCATCTCCAGGTGCGGGCATGAGGGGTGAGGGCAGCACAGGTGTGTGTGTGGCTGGGGGAACATGGCAGATGGGACCAGCACCCCCTGCTGCCTGCTCCTGGGTCTCCTCACTTTCAGGGTCTCTCCTTCAGGCCCCTCTCACCCCAGCTGCAGACTCTGACTCTGTCTGTCCCCTTCAATGGCTCCCACAGAGTGGCAAGACCTGTCCAGCTGGCACTCAAAGCTGTCACCCTCTGACCCCTGCCCTCTGACCTCACCCCACCAGCCCCCTTCCCCTCGTGCCTCTGGGCCTCCACATATGCTATTATTCATTGTGCTTGGAGCACCCCTCCTCATTGGCCTGGTTCCCCTCAGCCTTCAGGGCCGGCCATGAAGTCTCTTCCTCCTGGAAGCCTTCCCTGGCTGCTTTCTCGTGGGTGTGCTGGAGTCCAGCTCCAGACCCAAACTGAGTCAGGTTAGGGCCCATCACTGGTATGTGCAGAACGCCGCAGTGTCCTTGTGCCCATTTTGCAGATGCGGAAACTGAGGACTGGGGGGGAGAGAGAGAATAAGTATGCCCTGACCAGGGCTCTCTCTGCCTTGTGACTGGGTAGCTGGGGCTGGAGGCCAGGCCTGCCTACTCCTGTGGTCTTCCCACCTGTTCCATGGGCATGGCCCTGTGAGACCTGGGGGAGGCAGGGGGCACTGGAGCTCCCCGAGATGTGGGTCACTCTGGTGGCTCTCTGTTTTCCGTGCTAGATGGTCTCGGGCCTGCGTGCCGGGTGGAAGTAACTGGAGGGGTAAGAGGGACTCTGGAATGATGGGTGGGGGCTGGTAGGGCCATAGTGGGGGGACTGGGTGAGCCCCTACCTCCACCTTTAAGACAGACCCAAGGGGGGCCTGCCCTTGAGCCTCGGAGAAGCCACCCCACTTCCATCTGACCGTGAGTGGACACAACAGCCCAGAGGACTCTGGGAAATACCCAGATGTGGTCACTGCTCACCTGGAAGGAATGGGGCCTTTGGAGTCAGAGGTCTGGGCTCAAGTCCCTGCTCTGCCTTGTGCTGGCTGTGCGACCTTGGGCAAGTCACTTTCCCTCTCTGGGGCAAAGCCTGCCTTGAGAGGCTTAAGTGAGACGTTTCTCTAGGAGTGAGGGTGCCCAGAGGGCCAAAGTTTTTATTTTGCTCCCTGTGGGCATCTGTCACTCAATCAGCATGTGTGTGCTGAGCACTGTCACAGGCAGGCAACCTTCCAGAGGACTTAGCAGTGACAGAGCTGGTGACTAGGTGGGAATGACCCCCCTAGGGTTTGATATGGGCAGCACACAAAGGTATGTGAGATGCCAAGTACATAAAGCAGGGGAGGTGAGGGGAGGGGTGGGGAGGTGAGGGGTGGGGAGGAGAGAGTGAGAGGGCGAATCTGGGCATCGTCAGTTTTAAGTAAGGCAGTTAGGGGAGAGCCATGCAGCTCGGGGTCGGGGAGAGCCTTCCCCCAACTATATGTATGTAATACATTAGGATGCACCCTAAACACATAATGTGGAAAAAAAAAAGCCAGAAAACAAAAGAATATTGGAAGGGTACAAACTGCACAATTCTGTTTACACCACATAACTTAGGACACACCCGTTATTTCATGTACTTCTAAGAAAGAAAACATGATCCAAGATGAGAGTAACCCCATCCTAAAGCTGGGACCCCGGGCCGGCCGAGTGGCTCAGTTGGTTAAGAGCTCGCTCAAGAGTGCGAGCTCCGAACAACAGCAGTTCGAGTCCCAGCCCGAGCTGAGCAGCCGCTGTGTTGCCAACAGGTGGCAGGATGGCTCAGCTTAAAAAAAAAAAAAACAAAACCAAAAAAAACAAAAAAAACCTAAAGCTGGGACCCCAAGGGCTGCCTGTACATTGCAAATGTGATAAAACGAAATAAAACAAAATTGCTTTCTGCTTGCTGTGCAGAAAACGTGTGTGCCTCAACCAGCACATTGGGTAGAGGGAGGGAGGGTCTCCCGAGAGTCTGAAACCTACAATCTGTTTTGGGGTCTGATTCACACCACCGGTGTGACCCAAAGGAACCTCAAGCAGGGAGTTCAAATTTGAAATGTTGTCAGGCCGATAGTGTCCCCATCAATGTCACACACACTCCCATTGCATAGACGTTGAAACGTGAAAAAGGTGCTTCTCAGAACTGAGAAGATCAGACACAAATTCCAACACAGATAAAACTGAACGACAGACTTCTGGGCAGCTTAAGACCATGGTGGTTGTCTAGGATCCCACCTCTCCAAATGTCCTTGAAAAACAACACAGAGCAAGAAGAAGCGAAAGGTAAAATGACCCAAAAAACTGACTTCACATAACACCCAAATTTCGACATTACCATGATCAGAAAAATGCCAACGCCAGCATGCCGTCTCTTGTACTCCCACCTGTCTCTGCTCCAACACAAGGTGGTGACAGATAATGGCAGGAAAGGGGCTGCAAAGCTCATCCAATATGAAGGACGGCCTTCAAGATGTATAGCTTTGGGGAGAGAAAAGAGGAAAAAAAAAAGGAAGACGTGCCCTTTTGGAAATTAAGTGGCGAAAGGGAAATATGCAACAGGGAAAAATTTAAGGGCCTGAAAGAGAAAAGGGAATCCAAACACTGGGAGACACAGGACCCTTTCACCACTAAACCAAAACATCTACTAAGTTATTTAGACTTTGCTCTACTGACAGAAGAGGGTGCCATTGAACTTGAAATGCTATAAAACATTCCAAGAATGTTTTATATGAACAGGAGCAAAATTAACAGATCCATAGAATAATTTCAAAAAAATTAGAAGACAAAAGTCAACACACATCAGTGAGGGAACTCTCCCCTGAAAAACAACCATGATGCAGAAAAAGTGTAAGATGACTCTTCAAATTCAGTTCCATACACTCAAGCAAGTGTATAAAGATATGAAAATCCACCTTGAATTATAAATTCAAAAAGGACACACACACAAAATCTTCTAGTAATAAAGGAAAAAAGAGTTGATTGAATTCAGGAAAGAGATGGAAGAAATTACAAAATTATCTCAGAAAAAAAAATACAAGGTGCCCAAGAGAGATAAGACTCAAGTGAAAATTTAATAAGGGGCATTGAGGAAAAGCAGTAAAACAATCAAGAGAATGGAAGTGAATTTAAGAAAGAAGTAAAAAGGATCAGGGAGAAAGTAGTGGAAATAAAAGACACGTAATAATAGCATTTGAGTCTCTGAAGAAGAAAAACAACAATGGAACAAGGCTAATAATATTTAAAATAATAATCAGGAGAACTTTTCAGAAACGACAAGAACAACAACAGAATATTTAAGTTTACATAGTCAAAGAACCCACCAGGTACCTGGGAAAATTAACGATCAACTCTGAGACAGTTCTTAGTAAAATTGTTAAACTTTAAAGATAAAGAAAAAAATCTCCAAGGTCTCTAGGCAAAAAGACCACACAATTTGCAAAGGCAAAAAAGTTATTGTTATTGGGCTTTTCAAAGTCAAAACAAAACTATAATTGAGCAGCATTTAAAAACAACTAATTATAGGCCTGGACGAGTGGCGCGTTGGTTAAGAACTGGCTTGGGACACCAGAGGGCCCCAGTTCGGATCCCACATATGAGGGCCAGTGACACTGCCCTCTACAGCTAAGATGCTGAACAACAGCTCAACCTGG